TCTACTTTTCAAAAAGAAGATTCTTTAGCAAGCCATGTTCTAGTCTACTTCATTCGAGGTATTGCTTCTGACTTAAAGTTTGCTTTATGTCACTTTGCTACTAAAGGTCTCACCTCGTTTCAACTAATGCCAACTTTCTGGGAAGCAGTTGGAGTTTTAGAACTGACATGTAAATTATATGTTATAGCTGCAGTATCGGATGGTGCAGCACCAAACAGAAAGTTCTATCGAATGCATAGTATGTTTGATGACAAATTAGATTGTAATGTTGTTCATCGATGCATTAATATTTATGCCCCTGAACGGTACTTATGGTTTTTTGCTGATGCTCCCCATCTCATCAAAACAGCAAGGAACTGTTTATATCACTCAGGTATGTAAATTATATTTAAAGTGTATTGGTTTACAGGCCTTTCCAGTAGAAAATTATCAGGTTATGGTTATTTCTTGCTGGAAAGTAATAATAAAATAACAGATTTTTATATTAAAAAGTATGAAATGCTTACTTATTTAGCTAAGATTAGAAGGGCTATGCAATGTTTTAAACCTCCCTAGATTGAGAGTTGAATTGTAGGCAATAATTTTGTGTTATATTAAGATTCAATCTTTTTTTATTTCAGGGGATGGAAGGGGTACACGAAGTCTTTGGAATGATGGACAACAATTGATTTGGTACTATATCACAAGAATAGTCGATGACGAAATGAAAAATGGGTTAAAAATTATACCAAAGTTAACACAGGATCATATTAAACTTAGTGCTTATTCTGTTATGAATGTAAGACTTGCAGCCCAGGTTTTAAGTAGTAGTGTCAGTAACATTTTAAAAAATTATTACCCTGATGATACAAATGGAACTGCAAAATTTTGTGAAATGTTAGATAGTTTTTTTGATTGCTTAAATGTGCGAAACAGCAGTGAAGGGATAATGAAACGCAAACCATTTTTATTACCATACACGGATGTTAATGACGAGCGTTTGACATGGCTACAGAATACATTTTTATGCTATCTAGAAAAATGGAAAGAGTGTATTATTAATCGTCCTGGTAACTTTTCCAACAATGCAAAAGGAAGAATGTTTATCTCTTGGCAAACATACGAAGGACTTCAAATAACTGTAATGTCTGTTATCGAATTGGTAAAATTTTTATTAAAAAGTGGTATGCCGTTTGTTTTGACTGAAAAATTCAATCAAGACGTTTTGGAGGAATACTTTGGTAGACAACGGAGTTTAGGTCAAAGAAATGACAACCCTACACTATATCAATTTGGTTACCAGTCAAATACCTTGCGATTGCAAAGATCAATTGCGCCGGTTACTGGAAATACTAAAGGTGGTCATGGTCAAAAACGTGAAGTATCTTGGAGTGTTGTTGATAATGAAAAGTTACCAAAACGAAAAAAAAACCTATAAATATAATTTAAATATAAACATAGCATATAACAAAATATATCAATTATTTGTATTAAGTTTAAAGTTTAAGTCTTTATTTATTGTTTGATTTACGTTTTATACTTTTTCTTAAAGATTTTACTTTAAAACTTTGATCATTGTTTTTTGCAGTTATATTTTTAGCCAATGAAAATGTACGAACTCTAAAATAAAGTTCTATCATTTTTTCTAACAAGTTAAGCTTAATTTCCTTATCAATAGACACGAATTTCACATCATCCACGATTGCATTGTAAAAACTTATAATATTAGGATCCTTTAATAGGTGTTTTGTTAAATTCTTACTTTCAATATTTCGGAGGTTAGCAACTGCAGTTTCTTGTCTAAAATGTTTCTCAGCTAGCAAGAAAATCTGATAGCATTCTTCACATACTGCTGTTAAACCCCCTCTGTTTTGGGTATTTATTAACTTTTCTGAACTTGAAACTTCTTTAGTTGTTTGAAGTAATAATGCAATTATAGCTTGATTGTACTGGCTTTTGTAATTTTTTGTTGTTTTTGCCTTTTTAAGTAGATTTCTTATAACATACCCAGACAAATATTTTAATCCATCCACTTCACGTGGTGAAATTTCTTCAACTTCAACATTCTTTGAAGGAGAGCTTTGAAAATGCTGAAATAATTTATTGCATAACTTTGTTGTAAATACTGTTGATGCAGGTTTCTTTAGATTAAAATATGTGTCTGAAAAGAGAACAATATTGCTATAAAAGTTGGAATAATACTTTTCAGCATTTCCAGATGATTTTAATTTTTTTGACATTTTTCTTATTTCATCAAAAAAGTTTTCTGTTATTTTTTTTTCAAAGTCTTTTATTTCTGAAATAACTTCTTGAGGATAACATTTATTTGTTGACAAATCAGCTTTAGTTTCTGCAACAATTTTTTTTATATCTGTGACAAAATCATTATAATGCATATCTGTAAGACTCTTTATGGTATGTTTGTTTTTATTGTGTCGTGCTAAGCCTCCTTTTGTTTTATACGTTTTAGATTTGCAAATTTTGCACTTGAAGTCTCCAATATCGGTTACCTAATATATATTAAAAATAGCATTTATTATATATATATTATTTTAGTACGATTATCAACAGTAAATATTAGGATACAATAACTTTTAAAAATGTTTTTTTAATTTAACTTAATCATTTGCGTTAACCTTTACACCAAAATAAACCATTCTAATTAAAATTTAAAAATTATTATTACCTCTAATAATGCATTATCAAAATATTCTTGCAAATCTGGATTTAATTCATCATCAGCATTAATATTTATTATATAATCAAGCGTTTCGCCTGTAAAAAGTTCTTCAGAAAACGCCATTTAAAAATTTGTTTTGCACTAGATTTGATCACGTGACTACTTTTTACGCACTTTTCAAGATACGGTTTTAAAATAAGATTGAAACAATAGCTTTTCCAGACCAGGATTTCTATTGACTATGATTTAAGTTTCAAATAAAAAAAGAAATATTTTAAATTTGTTCATAAGATTAAATTTAAGAAGATAAATAATGAACTTATGAAGATAAATAAGAAGATGGGAACAAAAAAGCCCCAAAATTTTCGTCCCCCTCCCTTCCCTAAACGTGAGAGCAACCAGTTGATAAAATATTTTTTAAACTATTCTTAACTAGACTTATATTCATCAATAAATTTTAAGTTTCATATAATCATTTCTCAGTGTTCAAAAATTACGTCCATAGAAAGTTTGTAACCCCCTAAAATTTAGGGAGATTAAAACTTTATCTTGTCATAATTTTTGAATGCTAAGAGATTATACCATGAAACTTAAAATTCAAAGTAGTACAAAAAATATTTTATCAACTACTTGCTCTCACGTTTAGAGAAGGAGAGCAAAAATTTTTGGGTTTTTTTGTTCTTAGGCTTTAATCATCGCAATTTTTTGCAAAGCATCTTTATTTGACATAAGTATAAACATATAAATGTTTAGAGTTTGCTCCATATCTTGAAGTTATCTCGAAGACCAAAAATTGCTGGAGACGGCCCTGTATACAGGGCCGCCGAGAGCCTTCAAGCCGCCCAGGACAACAACATTTTTGGCACCCTTATGGTTTTCGCTTTTTTTCTTTTTTTTTTCAGTTAATAAGGTGCTCTAAGAAGTCCTAATGGTCTTGTTACAGAGCACCACCACAAGAAGAACAACACTTATTAAGTTGGCTCTCCGCTTCCAACTTCACCGATAACGTTTATGTGCTTCGAGCTGGGATCGAACCCGCAACCCTTGAGCCACGAGTCCAATGCTCTAACCACTGGGCCACGGCTCATATATATATATATATATATATATATATATATATATATATATATATATATATATATATATATATATATATATATATATATATATATATATATATATATACATATACTTGGCATAGAAGGAAAATAATACAGTATGCCTTTATAGCTACTTTAAATTTTTTTTATTTCATTTTTTGCTAACTAACCACATCATAACAATTCCTAATTTAAATAAAATTTTCGAGCTTTTTTCGAGGCAAAATTAAAATTACTTCATCATATGACAATGATTTTGCGAGATAATTTTCAATAGACAACGCCATAAGATTTGAAAGTCGCTCTTGTCCCATGGTGGCTCTGAAGTGGTTTTTTATAATCTTCAGTTTACTAAAAGATCTTTCACCCTCTGCAACGGATACTGGCATTGTGTGGAAGATGCGCAAAAGTATGCATATTGACGGGAAAATTGGTTGTAAGCCTTTGGAATATATTTGATTTAAAAGATTGAGAGAGTTGCCTTTACTGAACAAGGACGATGCTTTCAACCGGTCAAAGTGGCAAATTTCCTCAATAATATCGTCTTCTTTAACGTCATTTGAATAGAATTTCGCAAGTTGAAAAGCTTTGTCATCTTGTGAAGAAGGGTCTTCAGACTGAAGCCAGATAAAGGAAAACTGAGAAGAAACCTTTTTCAATACATTGAACCTTATGTGGTCCAATGCCACGTTGAAAATATTTACTTCAAAATTCTTTTCTGTATCGTCGTGGTAGTGGGCTGTATTTGATGGTTCCTCGTGGAGTTTTTTCACTCTTCTTGTGCGTTTTACTTTAAATTCTGTTTCAAAGCCTAGGTTTCCAGCCACTAGCTTTGCTTCAATCTTCTTTGCTTCAGGGTCCAATCGGTAATTATCTTAAAATATACGGCATCTTTTACTTCTTTCACAACTGCTGCTTGAACTAATGTAGCGCATTCACTGATGAATTCGTTTTGTGATTGCCAGGAGAGATAGTGAGTTTGCATTCTGGGTCCTTTATTTTGATGACGAGCAACTGTTTCAAGATGATTCTTTAAACCAAGGAGATTAAATATTTCAACAGGATCAAGCTCCTATCATAATGTTCCTAGCGATAATGCTCTATCAATTTGACTGTAGATATTATCAACCTCTTATATATAAGAATTCCCTGGTCTTAAACTTTTGTTAAACTACTCTGATTTTTGGGTAACATATCATAAACCAAAAATCAACTATTATGCATATTCTTATTTCTTTTAATTGGTTTGATAATTTTTATCCTATTTTTTAACTGTCGAAACAATTTCTTGTGATTTTTCAACAACAACTTTGTTTTGGTGTCATTCCTTTGATTTGGTGTCATTCCTTTGATCAGATTTCTCTATGAATGATATCATCCTAATAAATCATTAATTAATTATTATATTAATATTAGTTATTATTATTTTTTCATTGTAATTATTGTAAACATATTTATTATTAGTATTACTATAATTTGTATAATTTTTTTTTATCTTATATTATTATAATATAATATTGTTGTTATTGTTATTATTATTATTGTTATTATTGTTATTATTACTATTATTATAATTGTTATTAAAAATTAATAGCTTGTTGTTGTTGTTGTTGTTGTTGTTGTTGTTGTTGTTGTTGTTGTTGTTGTTGTTGTTGTTGTTGTTGTTGTTGTTGTTGTTGTTGTTGTTATTTACAAGAATTTAACAGTCTTTCTTTTTGGTTACAGATTTGCATTAAACATTTTCTCCCTTTCTATTTTTATACGGCTGATCGGATTGTCTTAGCTGCTTTCTCACATTCTGTATCCCAGTTTTAGGTGGTGACTATCGTTTCCTAGTTTTTCCTCAACGTAGGAACAAACGACGAGCTGGTGCTATTTTAGGATTATCATCATGATAACCAAGAACAGTCAGACCAGTTTCTGAATAAAGTAAATATATATATATATATATATATATATATATATATATATATATATATATATATATATATATATATATATATATATATATATATATATATATATATATATATATATATATATATATATATACGTATACATCATTTTATAGTTTAATATATACATTATGTGCCAAAATTGTCACCATGCTTGTTCAAAAAAATATTTTATATATATTTTATTAGAAAAACTGTGAAGAAAAATGAAATTTTAGTTTTATTAATTAAATTTAAGACTTGGCTAACTGAAAATATCGCTTTTTATTAAATTTAGAGGATATTGATTTTTTTTTTTAATTTTTATGTGAATAATGGTGACAATTTTGTCGCAAATGAATAACATATTGTAGTATATTAATATTGAGTGTATCCTCCCTTAGATTTAATTTCAGCCTAAATTTTTTCAGGAACACTAGCAACCAGTTTGCGGCATTCCTCGGTTGTAATTGAATACCAAACCTCTTGTACAAGAGCCCAAAATTCATCCTTATTATTAGGTGGAGTAGGAAAATTGTAGACCCGTTGTTTAGCTATTGCCCATAATTTTTTGAGTTGGTTAAGATCAGGGCTTTGTGTTGGCCAGTTAACAACTTTCAATTTCTTATCGTGAAGGAATTTAATGGTCTTATCAGTCTTATGCTTGGGGTCGTTGTCTTGCATGAACATCGTGTTACGTACAGTTCTGCCCCATTTTCAAAGGGACTTAAAATATCCGACCTTAAAGATGTTGATATAGTCATCAGCATTCATTATTCCATTAATTTTTACTAATTCATCAGCTCCGCGACACAGAAACATCCCTAAAACAAGATTTTTCCACCGCCATATTTAACGGTTAGTGTAAAATCTCGAGCACTTAATGGTGAATTAGGCTTTCTCCAATTATATATTGTACCATCTGATCCAAACATATTAGTTTTATTTTCATCTGTCCAAATCCAGTCATAAAAGTCATCAAAAGTCATGTGTACGTGAAGTTTAGCATATTTAAACAAGCTCGGCGGTAATGAAAAACTAAAAATGGCTTTTTGATCTTCCTTCTGGATCGAAATTCAATTCCTTTGAGCTCTCTATTGACTGTCCACACTGAAGCATGACTCCCATAGCTGTTATTCATTAAATTAGCAGTATCCTTTGCAGTTTTAGACTCTCTAGAAGCAATTAAACGAGCGATTGTTCTTTGATCTCATGGTTTGAAAATTTTCTTTCGACCATTATTAGGCTTATTTACTTCTAAATTATTGCGCAATTTGATTTTATACATGAGATTATGAGACTTTCCGAACTCAGCAGCGATTTCACGATAAAATTGTCCGGATTTAAGCCTTTCCACAATATTTTTTTCTAGTTCAAGATTTATTTTCCTCATGATGATGATAACAATACTTTTTTTATGTTTTCAAAATCAAACTTTAAATGATATTTAATCGTTAAAAATCTGTAAAAAGTTGATAACTCAATCATTTTAGTCATAAGGCTATTAATTTATGTCGTATGTCTAATTAACTGTGGACAAATATGATAATTGCTTTTATTCGCGACAAAATTGTCACCATTAGCTATTCACATAAAAATTAAAAAAAAAAATTCAATATCTTCTAAGTTTAACAAAAAGCAATATTTTTAGTTAGCTAAGTCTTAAATTTAATTAATAAAACTAAAATTTCATTTTCCTTCACAGCTTTTCCAATAAAGTATATAAAATATTTTTTTGAACAAACTCAGTGACAATTTTGGCACATACTGTAAATATATGTGAGCAATAACATGTTTTATAGTAAAGTTTTGTTGTTGTTTTTCTGTCGTAAAAACATCCGCTACTATTTTGGCGTAAATAATTTTTGATTGGATAAAACGGAGATAGTACGTTACAATTTTAATGTTTAAAAATGAATAAGGAGATTTATTTTATAATTTTTTTTTTTTACAGATTTATTTACAACAAAATGCAATGTCAGGTATAGTAAGTTAGTTTTATTTTTTTTTTTTACCAATTTATTTTTAAAAAATATTTTATCTATAAAAAGGAAAAAAATTGATCTAACTGTGGAGATAGAACAAAATAACTCTAACCTCGCGAGTTGTAACCAGGGCCGTGCACGAGTAGGTGTCACGTGGGGATGCCATTAAAACTTATGTCGACCGAAAAAAAAATGTCCTCGTTTTTTGCAACTTGGCGACTGACTGGTCTAAAAGAGTTAAATTTCCCCATTAAATAAACAAAAAATTCATTGATGATTGAGAGGGAGGGAGAGACACCCCAATCTATAATGACGTATTATTAAAATCCGGTTATGATTACAAACTTTGCTACCACCCTAATTTAAATATACATCACACTAAGAACCGTATATTGGTATACACACCTCTTAAATAAATAATCATATATAAATAACCATAACTAAATAATCATCATTTTATAGTTTAATAAAAATATTAAATGAAAGAAAACAGCTACATTACTTACTAGATTAGTAATAACTAATACTTTAAAAAATATTTTTATTTGTCATAAAAATATAGTTTTTAATCTCAAAAATGTGGTGGGACTAAGACTCTAACTCCAACCTTTAAATAGTATTCATGACGCGTATTGTAAACAATCTAAATTCAGATCTCCTCAAAAGTAGATAAATTTGTAGTGGTTACTTTTTTAATAACGTTATTACTCAGGTTAAAGGCAAATTTTTTTTTTTTAAAAATGACTCAATCCGTGGTTGGAAAAAACTTGCTATTTTTTATTATTCAAAAAAAAAAAAAAAAAAAAGTATATTTTGATAATCAAGATAAACTTTTATAAAAAACAATTTAAAACGCGTCATGTTCACAATTCTAACCGTATGGTGAACTACATTGATTCAATACACACTTATTAAAAGCGTTGTTTTGTAAGTTTTGTATTTAAGTCGAGATTTTAAAAGTTTATTTATTTATTTATTTTTTTTCCAGGTATACCATATAAAATATACATTTATTATATTGATTAAAAGAAAATATATTTACAAAATTATTACTTATCAGATTGATAAAAATACATTAATATAATATTGATACGTTAATATAGTATTGATACAAACTTTAATATAAATTCTGGTATAATAAACATTATATATACATTTATTTTTTCTATACTTTAATACCTAAAAAAAAGGAAATCAAAGAAGATTCAGCATTTTTGGGTATAAAACTCTTAAAAAAATCTTTTCGCAGATTCCCTTAATAGCGCCATTTGGCGTATATCTGTCTATATAAAAAAACTTATACTTTTTAAAATTTCTTTTTTTTAATTTATTACAATCATTTTTACAAACTATGAATATGCAGCTTTCTTGCCGTTTAAATGATGATATTCCATTTAAGTTATTTAATTTTTGATTTTTCAAGTTTTTCCATATTTTGGGACCCTGTGATATAATTGAAAGTTCAGAACCCCGGCTTTTAGTTTTTTTAATATAATAGTTATGGAAGTTATTTGATTGCAGATTATAAATTTTCAAAAATGATTACGAAAATATGTTTAAAAAAGAATTTGGTAGCATATTATTTTTATATTTGAACATAAAAATAAGAATCTGATACAAATTAAGTTTTTCCAAGTTTAAGACTTTCATATTTGTCATCTAATTGGAAGGATTGTCCATTCTACCTAGATAATGAATTGCTTTACAAGCATGGTTTTGCAAGCCTTGTAGTTTGATTAATTTTGTTTTGTGTGTTTTAGCCCACACTATATTTGCATATGTGAGATGACTGTAAATTTGACTAAAGTAAAGTTTTATAATACAGAACTTTTTGACAGTATATATCTTCCAATAATTTAAAATAAACCTTTTAATAGTATATAATTTTATGTTTAAAAAAGCAATCAAACCTGTTAGAGTGTATTTATTAGACTTCATTGTAGGTATTGAAAATATGTTTTTGGCGGTTTTAACATCCCTACAATTCCAAGAAAAAGTAAATTCCTTACTAGTGGTCAGAGCCGCCCCGAAGAGATTTTAAAAGACGTGGGGGTGACGTTTTTGTTTTTCGCCGAGTAAGACTTTTTTTTTGCTGAGATCACAAAACAAAAGAAGGTTTTTATTGGCTAATATTTACCGAATACCAACTATAGATCCAATTTTGCCGACTCTAGGGTCCAATTTGCTGACTAATATATTTCGTAGAAAAGCTAAATACCCCCTCGGAACGCCTCTGCTACTGATTGTAAAAGTATACATTTAATAATAACTAATATAAAATACTTTTAAAAAACAACAACAATAAAAAAAACATGCTGAAACTTTTTGGGTCTTGAATGTGTGACCATTTTTAAATATTTTTTACAATTTTATTTCTAATTTTTTTATATATACACTTTTCAAAACTTTTTCCAGGCCTAATTATGTTGCGTACTCTATTTATATAACTTTAATTAATGCAGACATTAACATATGAGTTGATTCCGCAAAGTAATTACCTGGAGGAAACCATAATAACATATTGTAGTTTTAAGAAAAATATTAGTTTTAAAATAAACAAAACTTGATGTTTAATAGAATACATTTTTTATAATTATATTAACTTTTTATTATTAATATTTTCATCATAAAATGCTTTAGTATAAAAATTTTAAGTATAATTAATTCTATTATGAATGAAATTATAAATAATTTGAAAATAGTGTTTTCAAATTATTTATAATTTGAAAACACTATTTTCAAATTATTTATAATTTCTGGGAAAATAAAATTTACGTCACTATTGTTCCGGAAGCAAAATTAACAAACGAAGTAAAGCATGTTTTTCAACTTATAATTATATTGAATTTAATAAACATTGTAGGTGCAAATATTGTAACCATTCTACCATAGCCGAAGGATAATGATTTACGTAAAATAGGTTACGTAGGTTTTAATTAAAACAACTAAAATACAATAACAAGTTACTATGGTTATAACGTTTTACTGTTGTCTACGAACATTGTCGCTTTAAATTTCAAATGTTGCAGCCTATTAATATCTTTTTAGATCTAATCCCAGTGATTAAATGAATATTTGGTATAAATAGTTTTCAACAACAAAAACATTTTGGCTTCAAAGTTTATGAAAAATGAATTTTTTTCCTTTTATACAATCTTTTAAATTTTTTTTTTAAATTCTTTTAACTAAGATGCATTTTTATAAAGTATAATTGTATAAGATACATACATTACGTACTTGAGTACATTACGTACTTGGATTTTAATCTAAATTCTAATTTTTATTAAAATTCATATCTGAAATAAATTAATTAACCTCTATAAATTTTTTTAAGTATAAAAAAACCCTTAGTTCAATTAGCAATTTGATTTGAATAAGAAGATACGCAGTTAAGGTAAGTTACTTCTAAATATCGATCCGCGTTGCTTAACCAAACCGATAAGAAGAACGGTTTACAACGTTTTAAGAAAATTTACAAGCTTTGTCGTGCTATCAAATATACAAGAAGCAAAATCCCGTGGTATGGATAAAAATAACAAATTTCAAGATAAATTAAAAATACATTTATTAAAGCAAAAATTTGCAATAAAGAAATTGCCGCAACGTGTATTGGATCTGAAGAGCGGAACACCTAATTTGAAGCGTGAACATTTAAAAAAATTAGTTTCTACTGGTAATGTATCTCCTCCTGTACCGCAAAGAAGCCTAAGTCCTAACCCAATATGTGACAAACATTTTATAGAGATTACTGATTCCAAAAAAAGTTATGACGATGTTAACAAGTCACTTATCCTTAATAAAATCGACTTTCCTCCCCTGCTTTTTCCAAAACAACTTTTATATAACGTTATGGAGAATGGCAGCATAATAGTTGCAGGTCGACCTGATCAAACATACAATCGGATAAAATATACAAAAAATTTATCATCTGGAAAAGAATTCGAATGTTCATTTGAGGTAGTTTTTTTTTCTTTTTTTAAGCAATATTAAAAACTTTTAGTATTATATATATGAAAAAGTTTTACTAAATTGTTTTGATACATATGTATAGGAATATATTAGAATAACTTAATCGAAAATAAAGTAACTTTGTAAAAAATTTCAAGTTTCACGCATTAGGTAGTCGTTAAAAAATTACAGGTAAAAATTTCTCATAAAACACAAAAAAACACAAATCTGCACCCTATATCACCAAAATTTTTGAAACTTGGCACAAATGTTTATAGACATATGTTAGGAAAGATTGTAATTTTTTTTCATAAAATTCCTTACCGTTTATAATTTACAGCAATTTGAAGTTTCTTTGATTTTGACTAAAAACTGAGGGGGGGGGGGCTCATTCCGTTTATTTCACCTTAATATGGTGTTTGTAGTGATGCCACAATTCTGAAACTTTGTACCAAAAGAGTTTAAAACCTGTTAAATTCAAAAAATATAGTTTTTTATATGTCAAAACAAGGGAATGTAGCTTATTTTAAGATCCATAAAATACACTTTATAACGTCGAGAAAAAGAGCATTGACAATTATAGCAATTATAATTATAGCAATTATAACTGATATAAAAAAAATTTTCAACATCTACTTTTCGAATCAATTTTGTTTTGGCTTTATATTTACTTGAGGAATTGTTGATGTTTGATATAGACACAAAATGTTTTAATATTTTTAAAATTAGATACTTAATTATAACCCCACCTTTTACCAATCAATCAAATTAGAAACTAAAAATTTAGTGACTTTATTATCTTTTTCATTTTCATATGGTATTTACAACAAAATTTAAACGTATATATTTTTTTTTTTTTAATACTAAACTTTAGTGATTTTATATATGCTTTACATTCACATTGTTTACAAGTTGGTTCACAAAACATAATGTTTAAAAAAAGAATGGATAAGACATAATAGACTCATAAATATAAAAATCTCTACTTCCTTAGGAAAATTTTTTTTAAGTCCTCTTAATTTTTTTTAAGTCCTCTTTGGCTAAATAGTGGCAAAGTCCTGTTTTTGTTATCGGTACCTCAACGTTGCAAATAATGTGGACATCAGGAATCCCGCATTGGCTTTCCTTTGGTGGCCATTTGTACGACCGTTCAGGACCATTAGGACACATAAATTTTACAAGCACATCTTTTTCTTCTAAATTAATATCTTCAATGACTTCTATCCACCACTTTTACTCATAGGAAACACAGGCATAATCACCTGGTACTAGGTTTACAGTTGTTATCTGGATATTTCCAAAGTCATGAATTAAAGCAAATTCTTCATCAACACTGCATAGCTTAGTGCCTACCTAAACAAAATAGTAACATATGCAATTATTCCGTTTTACTTATCAAACATGTTTTATTAAATGCATAGATAGCAAATGCAGAGGAAATAAAATAAAATACAAATATTTTTGATAATGATTCTGCAAAAATCCAATATCTATTTGAGTTTATCAATAAAAGTTATGTGTATATTTTAAAATATGGTAAAAGGTATAATTAAAAAATAATAATTTACCTTTTGATGGCCAAGTGGTACAAACTGATGGTAACTACGTGTTCCAGGTATTGTATTAGCAGTATCCAATCGTTCTTTAAGAGCGGTTTTTATTAAAGTTAAATCTTCTGATAAAATATATATGAAATTTATGCCTTCAATGTTTTCATTGCAATATTTATACATTGTTTGTTTAATATTTTTCATTTGAGGCAAATTTGTTTTTATATCATTGCAAACAACCTCAATAATTTTATAAACCATGTTCACATCATGGATCATGTTAATAGCTAATTTGTAAACGCTATTATAATTTAATAGCGTTTACAAATCCTTAGTGTAAATATGTCGTAATTTCTCTTTTACTTTTGTTTGTACATAATTATCCCAAGGGAGCTTTTGTTGTTGACAAAAAAATGTATAAAAATTGTAAATAGTATAAAAATGAACAGAGTTCATAAAAAGTAAAGATAGTTGTCGTTTTACAAGCTATTTCGGCAATATGTCATCCATGGCAAAAATGATCGAAAAATTTGATGGGTCTGGCGATGTTGTTGTGTGGCTGAAAAAAGTCAAGCTGGTCGGAGAGCTTCAAAAGATGGGCGATCTGTCGTTAATAATTCCGTTGTTTCTGGAAGGAGATGCCTTTACTTTCTATTAACAACTTAGCGAAAACGAGAAAGCCTCCGCCGTGGATATCGAAAGAGCTTTGTTGGATGCATTTGCGGTTGATCTTTTCGAAGCCTACGAGTTTTACAAAACGTTATAGTCAAGGAGATGCTTGGGATGACCTAATAGGAGATCAAGCACAGTCATGGTTGGTCAAAATATTGCACCGTTTGGAAGCTAGTGATCCTGTAAAAGAGACATGGAATGCTGATGGTATTCAAAATGGAGCAATATTGTGATGTGATGCTAGTAGTATTGCAATGGGTGTTGCAATCGAATATAACGGTGTAATAGTTGAGGATGCAGCATGGCTACGAAGTACAAAATTGTCATGCATATTAATATGGCTGAATTAGATGCTGTTGTGCGTGGAATAAACCTAGCTGTTAAGTGGGACATCAAGAACCTATCGATATTTATTGACTCGGTAATTGTTCATGGATGGTTAAAAAGTGTGCTGACTGAAAGTCATAGGGTTCGGTTAAATGGACTATCAGAAATGCTAATCAAACGAAGACTTTCATTATAGCGTGATTTAATAAAGGAATACAGTATGAACATCATAGTGAAGTGGGTTCTGTCTTCTAAAAACAAAGCAGATGTATTAACAAGAGTTTCAAAAAAGTGGTTAAATGAAATTTCACGAAAAAATGTTAAAGAATTATGTGGGGTAAATATTGCCGATAAAATTCGTAAATGTCACTCGAAACATCATTTTGGCGTTAATCGAACAATGTTTACAGTACAACAAAGAATCCCGCAAGTGTCGAGAAAAGACGTTAAAGACTGTGTGCGCAAATGTCGTCAATGTAGTTCAATTGATCCAGCACCAATGAAATGGGAACATAGAGTGCTAAATGTACCAGATACATGGTATCGTATTGCATGTAACGTAACTCACTATAAAGGGTCACCGTACCTAACAATAATTGACTGTGGACCAAGTTGATTTGCAGTGTGGAGAAAGATGCTACACGAAGATACAAAGAGTATATTAATTCAATTGGGTTCCGTATTTAGGGAGCATGGCCCGCCACACGAACTATTGATGGACAATGGAGCTGTGTTTAGATCAAATGAGTTGTCAAACATGTGTGCAAAATGGTGTGTATAAAAGATGTATAGATGTGCATATAGACCATCAGAAAATGGAATCGTGGAGCGTAACCACTGCACAGTAGAACGCACATCTGCGAGGGCACAGATGTGTCCGTTACAAGCGGTATTTTGGTATAATGCAACACCAATGATTGGAACGCAAGAAGACTCTACACCAGCTTCTCTAAAAAATAAGTACGTCTGGCGTCTACCTATTCACAACACAGAAAGTCACGAAAGACCACAAAAGGACTCGGCAACCTATAGAATTGGAGAACAAGTTTATGTTCGTCCTGTTGATGCAAAGTGTACGACGATTTGGAAAATTGGTAACGTGACCAATCTACTCTCAAAAACAAATATTGAAATTGATGGTGTTCCACGACATGTGAGAATGATTCCTGCATCATATGGTGAGAAAGTTTTAAGAATGAATAGTGTTGAGGAAAATGAAAGCGACAAAAGTGAGTTCGACGATTTACATATTGCAAGAGACGAGGAAGTTGAAGAGTCAGTTGATGAAGAGTCAGCTGCTGACGAAGAAAATAACGGTATTGAAGTCATGGATAATTTATTACCGTTGCTCAGACGTTCGACTAGAGAACGGAGAAGGCCGACATATTTAAATGACTATTTGCCTTAAGAACTTAGTTCTTGGGGAGTTGTTAATAGCTAATTTGTAAACTCTATTATAATTTAATAGCGTTTACAAATCCTTAGTGTAAATATGTCGTAATTTCTTTTTTACTTTTTTTTGTACATAATTATCCCAAGGGAGCTTTTGTTGTTGACGAAAAAATGTTTAAAAATTGTAAATAGTATGAAAAAGTAGAGTTCTTAAAAAGTAAAGATAGTTGTCATTTTACAGACCATATCATCCAAAATAATACAATAGGATTTGTGCTTGAGAATGCCTTCTTTTTGGAAATAAATAATCACTGGATAAAGTGTACATTGTAAAATTGTCCAATGAAGGCTTTGCACTTCATCCTGAACTACAAATTTATAGTTTTCTGAAAAATCACCGAGAAGTAATACTGTAGTAATCACCGAGAAGTAACACATTCATATCTTCCTTTCTTGATCTCAGGTATAATGCTTGACTCTTTGCTAAGTACAAATGTGGTGCAAGTTTTTCCAGTTTTCTACATATTAGTTTAATGTATTCACACACTGGCTCTTTATTATGTGTCAAGTTTGACCTATCTGTTGTTGTCCATTGATCAAAGTCAATCTCATCATCATCTTCAAATTCTCCAAGTATATCATAAAGTTTTTCAACCAATGCATTCATAGTTGCTGGGAATTTTTCACATTTCCTCATCATATAGTCTTTATTAGTTATATCACAGACAATATAAGGTAACAATTCCTTGTATGTCACACCAAGAGGATGTAAAAGCAGTTTCAAATTCTGGTGAATAGCACAGACACATACAGAATGTGTTCCTGAAGCACCAACAGTAATACACCATTTAGGTCGCAAGGTGCAAAAGCTTGAAAATCCTATTTTTATTTCTGGGTTCTTGGTTTTAAAGGCAACAAACAATTCCTTTTAATTACATAAGAGCAAACGTTTTTGCATGTGGACATTTTTCTTTATGCTTATGTCCTTTTTACCAGGCATTATACGGCTATGTTCATCATCTTCGTAAAAGGTTTTGACCAGTTGTACTGTTACATCAGGAAGAGCTTTTCCTAATTTAGTATTAGGCATGGTTAAAATACCTTTTTCTAATGTTAACTTACGTGCAGTTTGAGCTACATAATTTGTTACATGCAATGTTTCAGATACCTTTTTTATTGGCCAGTCTGTTGGAGCAAGTGTTGCAAGTTGTACTTTTTTTGATGTTGATGTAGACTCTGCAATTTCGTTAGTTAACAATATCATCAAGTTATCAAACAAGTTTGCTTTTTCCATATACTCATTATTAAAAGTTGACTGTTCTTCAAAACTGTCTTCTGATATATTAAGGAAAATGGCTACTTTTTTTTTAATGGAGGTTGTTAATGCTGTCAATTTTCGTCAAACCTTCTCTGATAATACATGACTTGTGCAATCCTTTGACCTTAATTGGAGATACTCCGGGAGATGCAAAGTGTGTATCTACACTTTCTTTTTTATTTTGAATGGATTTTTCATTAACAATATCAAAATCTTCATCATTTTTATTTTCACTTATACTTTTTGATAAACATGTCATAACTTTACTTCGACAGGTTGAACACAGTTTTTTTCCAGGTATAAGATTTAAACCTATGGTTTCTGCTTCTAACACTGTATGCATTGTAATCACACGCAGAGATGTTTAAAAAGAAAGTAATTACATTACTTAAATAACATTAATTATATATATTATGTTATTATATTACTATACAATTTGTTATATTAATAACTACAAAACATTGAACAAATCTTTTTACCAAAAAAACTTATTTGACTTATTAATAATGGTATAACCTAATGAAATATAAATATATAAATTTTTACCTCTGCACACGTTTTGGTGACTCAGAAATTGATTACAGCAACTTTTCTGATTACCCTCAAATCTTACAACTAACATATCATGATGGTGTGTGCATATATCAGTAATTTGTTCTTGTTTCAGATTTGTTCGTTTTTCAAGTAGCTAACAATCATTGCTGTCAATATCTTCAATCAGATTTCTTTCTTGAGTATATGATTGTTTATAACAAAATCCATAATTATTTACAAAGCAGCAATTAATTTTGTTATCCATATAAAAATATAATGAGGAATTTTTTACAAAACAAAAGTAATTGTATTTGTATTCAAAATATATTTGCAAATTTTTTTTTTTTTTTTTGCAAAATATCTTTAGAAAAATTGAAAAACTAAAACATCAATAACTCCTTGATAAAACATAAGGCCAAATAAAAATTGGTTCGCAAAGTAGATATATGTTTAATATTTAAAATAACGAAAACCAAAACTTTTTTTCATCAGTCAGATTTTTTCTAGAACTATAGTTGTCAATGGCCTTTTTTTATTGTCATTAAGAAAAGCGTTTTGTGGAAAAAAAAAAAAAGTTAGTCTTTCCTAACTTATATATTTAAACATTTGTGCCAAATTTCAGCGAATTTGGTGATGCAGGGTGCAACCCCTTGTTTTCTGAGAAATTTTTACCCTTACACAAAAAACTCAAAAATAAAAACTGTTTTATACAACATAAACACAAATGCTACAAAGTCTAAAATCAGAAAAAGTTAAATATAAAATATTTTATAAAAATTAATAAAAAAAACTTTTTATTATTATTTTTTTTATATTAAGATTAGGTAGCAATTATCAAGTAAAGACAGTGATGCAAACTCAAAACACTTGTATATTTATACTTATGTCAAATTTATACTTATTTCAAATTTATACTTATGTCAATTTTTTGCAAAGCAAAAAATTGCGATGATTGGAGGCTGAAAACAAAAAATCCCTTATACTTCCCCCTCCTCCTCCCGAAAGGGAGAGACAACAAGTTAATAAAAAAAATTTTCGTACTTTTCCTTATTACACTTATATTCATTGATAAATTTTAAGTTATATAGTATTATCTCTTAGCGTTCAAAAAAAATATGACCATATAAAATACAAAAAATAAAAAATACAAATTTATTAATTACCCAGAGGGTTGCGCAAAAGAAACTAAAAAGCCATACTATATCGCTGTATGTAAAAGACAGAATACCAAACGTTGGTACGTTTGGCATTCTGGCTTCTGCCGACTAAAACGCCATACCTCCGCATGAGATAGTTCAATTCCAAAATTATCATACATACAAATATTTGCAAATACGGATAAATCCAGACACATGCATATATTTTTCTTTTGTTTTTTTTTAACTGTTAGTTTAAATGTTGTATTCTTTAAAAATACAGCCCTATATATATATATATATATATATATATATATATATATATATATATATATATATATATATATATATATATATATATAAACTTATAAATTATATGAAAACCATTAATTTCATTAAGTTTAATTTTAGGATAAAAGAGAGGTCTGTAAAATAGAAATTAGTTTTATGGAAAAAAAAGTAAATACGAAATCGTCTGATGATGTGGATCAGCAAGAAAACGTATCATTTAGTTCTGGGGAAGATCAAACAAGTATCCAATCAACTGTAAGCATGAATCAACAAACAAATGCTAATCTAACTAGCTATGTGACTCAGCAGATAAACATAGAAACAACTGATTGCAAAAGTCAACAAATAAATGCGGAAACAAATGATTCTGTAGATCAGGAAGTATATATGCAACCAAACACATATTGTTTGTTTCAAAACGATTTGACTATTAACAAGAAATTTTTTGAAAGTGTAGTTTCTTCTCCTAGTAGTTTCAATATTTTATCCAAGGTTGATGAAAAGAAAAATAGCTTTGATAATGATATTAAAAAACCATCTTTAACGAAATACATGCAAATACATCCTGGTTTTTTTAAAAAAAGTTTAGATGGAAAAAACTTACTACCAAAAGCATTAATTGGACCGGCTACCTATCATTTTCCTCCAGCATGCAAAAAGTTTATTTAAATATTAGAATAAATGTGGTATATATAATTATTATATACGTCAGCTGGTATACCTAGGTACTTCGATATTTTTTCAAATATAATAACTTTTGTGTTTGCCAAATGACAAACTTTTTTTTTATGCGTGTCAAATGTTTATCATATAAAATGTTCATCATATAAAAGAGGTTTGCGCGTTACTTTATTTTCCATGGACACTCTGTATTAATTTTAGGGTTAGGTTTTTTCAGCAAGATGGACCCCTGTATTAGTTTTATATTAAGTAAGTAAAGACTAAAGTCAGCCTAACAAAAGTCAGCGTTATTAATGTATTCCCCCAAAAAATATATGAATGAGAAAATATTAAGAACTTTTCATATTGAATGTTATTTTAAAATTTTTTAAATTTTCTTTATATTACTAATTAAAAAAGAAATTTTTTAATTCCTAATATAAGGAATTTATTTTGTAAACTATACGTTCATTTGCTTACAATTTACGAACAAAAAATGAACTGTTAAATAAAAATTTAAAACACTCTTGAAATCAAAATATCCTTTTACTACTAGTTATATTTTATATTTTTTTAGGGATTTGGACCATAAATATTGGAGGATCAATTTTAAACAGCAAGATTTTTGTAAGAGATAAAAAAAAATCAAATGACTGTGACGGTCTTCCAGCCATTCTGAAACATAGTTAAAACAAAGTTAATAAAAGAGAACATTTTTTTCCCAATATTTTATAGAACTTTTCACATCAGCAAAGTTCACATTCATGCAGATCTCATAAGCTTTAAATAAAAATAAACTTTTCGTACTTTAATGGCAACAAAATCTCGAGTAAATTGTGAATAATAATTCTTTATTCTGAAGTTTATGATAGTTGAAAACTTGATTTAATCTGTTTTTCTAAATCTAATTGCTGAGCCAATTCTCTGGGTGCAATTTGAGCAGATACAAGAAATTTTCTTTGTATTTTTTCACAACCTCGGTTGCTCGTTTTTTCCAATGTCAAGTTGCATTTTTTTTGGTTGTGTCAATTCACTGAAAATATTTTTTTGAGACAATAATTTTTAGCAAATGGCTGAAGTAACCAAAAATAAAAATTTTTTGATTTTTCTTTGTCAGTCCATTTGCTTTGGTCATTGCATTTGGATCGTTGGAATTTTCAACCACTTTTTACAATGAATTTACTTTTTGCCTTTTTATGTTAAAATATAATATATCTTAATGTGCTAAATTTTTAAGCAGCAAGATTATTTATTATACTAATTTAGTGTCCAATTGTATATTATTTTAAAGAGTCTGTTTTTATTCTGTCTGAAAATTTTCTAAAAATTGACGCAATCAATTGCCGGCCTTAAAATTTGGAGACTTTTGATGTTTGTGAATTTTTTCCACAAAAAAAATAGTAATACTTCGTTCTTGTAACTTAGCAAGATCATTTCTTTGAGAGTTATAAGAAATTTTCCACTCATTATTCAGATTTAAATAAATTTAAATCTATATAAAAAAGGAAGTTTACTTTTATAAAAAATTTTAAAAGAGAGGGGTATGTAGCACATAATAGAAGCACATTTGCTACTCAACAAAATAGATAAAAATGATATTTTTTGCTTATAATAACAAAGGCTTGCTCGTGGAAAAGGAAAAAATAGTATAAGAAATATTTCCTTTAGATTGAAAATTCAGTTTCTTTCATTTTGAGATTATAATATAATAAAGTATAGCTTATATGTATGTGTATATGTGCAGTGCTGTTTTTACCCATTAACAAGGACTGTTGCCCATAGGCCACTACATTTTATGGACATCTTGCGTTAGCTATATTCTTCAGTTAAAATAGAAATAAGTTTAAAAAAAAAGATGTTTAAACCTCATTTATTTTCTTTTACTGTTTAGTAAATTGAGTTATTTATAACTATTAGAATGAAATTATTAGAAAAAAGAAGACAATATTTGTTTTATCACTACGCCCTAAAAGCTGTGACGAACTTTAATTGTAGAGAATTTGTGGCGGGATAGCTTAGATGGTTAGAGTGCCAAAGGAAAAGCTATAACCCGGACTGTTGAACGATAAGAGTTCAAATCCCGCCACCGCCAACTCAGCGCTTGAGTAGTACTTCGGTACGCAAAAATGTTGGTCAATAACGGAAGCTACTTTGGATTAGTCTTAATGACTATTTGTGGCTGTTCCAATGCTAAGCCAACAATATCTTTGGATATAAGAACATTGTATAGAAAAATATAGCATGAAAACTCAGATTAATAAAAAAAAATAAAAATAAAAATAGAGTGCGTTATTAACAAGAAGTTTTTGTTTTATTTAATTTTTTGTTATCAGTCGTAAAATACATTTGGTAAACTTGGTAATTTACTCAAAATTTTATAAAATAAGAATTTAATAAAAATTGCTATTTTACGCCTGATGACAGTTTTTACAAATTTAACCAAAATATCACATAAAAGAATAATTAGTTAGTATGATGCGGTTTTTGATGATTTATAACTTATTTTAACTTTACATATTTCGAAAAATGTCGCTAAAACATTAATAAAAGCATGAGAAAACTCAATATTGGTTTTAAATGTTGACGCCAAAAAATCTAATAAAAAATGGTTCTCAAGCATTTGTTGTAACGTTATCACCGTCATCCTTAATAAGATCATATTCGTCACTTCCCAACTCTTGTCGAAATTTAGCTCTGTTTATTTCCAGTGACTCTCGAATTTTTAGAATATGACACAGTCAAACAATTCGGAATTATTTGAATATGATACAGTTTTTAGAATTTTTTGAATATGGTATAATCTTTCTTTCGAATATGATAAAATTCCGGTCAAACGTACCTTGACATGAATTGGAATGATTCGTAGCACTCAAACTGGTTAATTTCCCTTTTATACTATTTTTCATATTTATTACTTAGCTAGGCGCTAAGAATTGGAAAAAATGTCATAGAATAAATCTTCATTCTAAAATAATTTATGAATGAGCATTTTTCTTTTTCAAATTAGTTTACGAGATTAGCTAAAATTCTAAAAAATTATTCTAATCTGTTATTAGGAATGGCCTAATAAAAGATTAGAATAATTTCGGGATCCCTGGATTTCGAGATTTCGTACAAATTGTTTATCCCGAAATCCCGGGTCTAGTCTCCGAAATTTCCCGGGATTTCGGGGTCATCAAAAAAAAGTAAAAGTTAATAAAGGTTAAGATTATAATAGCAATTAAGTAATTTGTACATTGTCTTTGGTATAGCAGCTGTTTGGTTGTCTAACTCTTTATTCTCTTTGCAATGTTTTCCTTTTAAAACTCTCTCTATTTTATTAAAAATATAAACTCAAAACATTGCTTGTCTGCAAAATATGTTCGATCAAACATATAAAGTACAATATTATATTATTTAATACTATATATATATACATATATATATATATATATATATATATATATATATATATATATATATATATATATATATATATATATATATATATACATATATATATATATATACATATATATATATATATATATATATATATATATATATATATATATATATATATATATATATATATATATATATATATATATATATATATATATATATATATATATATATATATATATATATATATATATATATATATATATATATTGACACTGGTGACTATGATGAATTTATAACTCTTTCAGCATGTTTAGTACTTTTCCGGAAAATCATTTGTTTTGATTTTGGGTCATCAGATAGATTAGCTTCATCATAGTTTATTATTTTTTGAGGTAGAACATTTTTTATTGCATCTTTTAGGTTGGTAAAAAATCTATTTACAGAGTCACATGAAATTGCAGCAGGCTTTCTACAAATATATTGACATGCTCGATAAGACAAAAGACTTTTATGCCGCTCTAAAAATGATCTTACTCAATCATCACCAGGCAAATTTTCTTTAAAATATGGGCAGTCTTTTCCAGATTTGTTAAGAAAACTTTGTACAAATAATTTGAGATCTATTTTATCAAATGCATACCCGAAATCACTAAAAGTTGCAATGTATTGTGCAATTGACATCTCCTCGTCTGGTAGCAAAGAACTCCTTCGACCAACCACTCTACTTTAGCGTAAACCACTAATATGACACCTTAAAGTTCCACGCCAAACCGTTACTCCGTGAAATCAAAGCTTTAAACGTCTATGAGTTAAATTTGTACCAAAACCTATTATTTATGTTTAAATATCAAAACGACATGCTTCCTAAATTCTTTAACAATCATTTTTCAATTATTTCTCATAAATACTTAACGAGGTGCTCTATTCACAATTTTAATTTACCTAAGTCAACATTAAAAAAAACAGATTACTCAATTTCATATAGAGGACCTCGTCTATGGAACAGAATTCTTGACGACAAAATGAAAAGTATAACCTTAATACAATCTTTTAAAAATGTAGTTAAACAGAATTTGCTCGACTTAACAGATACAAACATACTTTTATATTTTTAATTTTAAAATTTAATTTTTTTTTTACGTTACTTATTTGTTTTTCTTGCTGTTTTTTTTTTTTTTTTTTTTTTGCTTTTTACTTTACTTTTGAAGTATTTTTATCTTATTACAATAAAGTTTATATTTATTTGCTTTATATAATGAGTATTTGTATATAATGAGATAATGACACACAAAAAAATGTAAATAATTATTATATATATTTTATTTCTATATTTTACTTTAGAAGTCTTATTATAGTATAGCTATTTTTAACTTGCTATAAAATGATTATTTATTTTTTTGTTGAAAAAACTTGTAAAGCTAATCTTCTAAATTTCTTTACTCTATTTATTTAATTTAGCAAATTTTATTTTATTATTGTTATTTTAACTTGCTTTATATAGTGAATATAAATTATTATATTTAATATATAATGGATACTTTATAAAAAATATATCACGCAAACTGTAGGGGCTTGACGACAAGACTTATGTCTTCTACTTGCTCCTGTCATTCTTTATATTTTGATTTATTTTATTAAACTTGGAAACGAGAACATTGTAAAATGCTTATATATGACGAAATAAATAAATAAATAAAGTTCTGTGTGGTATGTTTAGCAGCTTT